CTTTGCTAGTACTGGGAATGGAAATATTGTTCGGAGTAGAAGAGTTTGAAACTTTAGGCCTACTTGTGAAATTGGAGTCTTTCCTGCTTCACCATCTTCAAAGCACTTTTCCCAAACATCATATAACATACATGCAGATTGTTCATAACACCAGTTACCTCCTTGTTCTCTACAAATTTTGAATTGTTCCAACAATTCTGGATATATTTTAGTTTCGAGGTATTCCAAATGGCTAAGCTATTTCTCAGAGTTTACTTTTACCATTGCTGCTGTTGAAGGAACTGATGTGTACTTTGAAGGTAGCTTTGAATAGTCAACTGCATCAGGAGAGAATGGGTAAAGGTCACAAACTTGGAATCCTGTCTTCACATTATCAGGAAAGGCTTTATTTGGAATCCTGTCTTCTCATTATCAGGAAAGGCTTTATTTCAATAAGTTCAGCAAGTGCTGGTATAATGTTGAACTTTGTTATTTCTGCATTGTCATGTTTATAACACCAGGTTCTTACATATTGTTTCCAGTCTTGCTTCATTGATTTGAAAACAGTGACATCAAGGGGCTGAAGCACATGGGTGGTATTTGGATACAAGCACACTACAGTGATCTTTTTTTCACGACAGAATCGACTTAAATCTAAAGACATATGGGAAGAATGCCTATCTAGAAATACAATAACAGGTAAGGGAACATTGTTTTCTGTTAAGAATGGGAAAAAGACATTTGCAAAATACTCATAAAAACTTTTCAGCAGTCATCCAGCCTTTCTCAGTCTTACCTATGCCCCAATAAGAAGGGGCTGTTTTAACAATAATGTTTGGGATCCTTTCATACTTAAACACAGTAAGAGGAGGAGCACATTCCCCACTGGCATTTACAGTAATTAATGTAGTCACATTTTCTTTGTCTGAACTTTTAGCAATGTCATAAACAGGTTTTCCTTTTTCAGCAAGTACTAAAGTGCCTTTGGGACATAAAAAGAAACTAGTCTCATCCAAGTTAAAAACACGCCTTGGATCACTCAAAATGGATATGTCATTATTTAAGTGCTTCTCAACTTTTTTGAACCAATTTTGAATGTTTTGCTCTGTTACAGATCCTCTAGATTTACTCAAATATTCACTGTGTTTTTGAGTGATGGTAGGATTTCTTCTTAAAAATGCCACTTTCTTTCTGGTTTGTTGTCAATAAATGGTGTTTCCAAGTTATTCTTTTTGACATAAAGTTCCACAGCACTAAGTAGGATTTCTTTGGTAACTGGATAACCAAGTCTTGCTGATTCAACAATCCAATCAGAAAATGCTTTTTCTATAACACCCAAAACTGGATGAGGTCCTGTGTGACCAGATGTTATAGGCGCATGTCCACTGAGTTTATGGCAAAGAGTAGTACTTGGTACTTTGTAGGTGATACTTGCTTTATTCACAGGCATTCCATTCTTCACAGCTTTTATTGCACTTTGTACTTTACTTGGTGAATACTGAAAAAGCAGCTTTTTCACTTTTGATGCTCTTATGTTTGTCCACTGAACTTGTTTTACACGTGCCATGACAGCATCAGTTATCTAAAAGAAGAGAGGCATAGGCTATATTTAGTATCAATACTTTTGATTTTACATAAAATAACTAGGCCTAAAAATGCTTTAGCATTGTCAAACTTAATAAATAATTATATTTATGAAGCGCACTGTAAAGGAACTAAAATGCTCTTGGCCAGAAATGGTGCATGCAAGTTTTATTTTTGGCCACCCTATGGTTGTCAAAGAAACTAAAAAGCTATCAAATGCAGACATGCAAAAATTAATTTAGAATCTTCTAGATATAAAATTTAAAAAAATAACTGAAGGATTTATTAAAAAAAATTGGATTCACTTACCTGTCTGTTACCAAAATCTGTAAAGAATGGCTTCCTTCTTGAAGGAACTGAACAAAAGTGATTATCATTATCAGTTACTGAAATTTTTCTTGACCAATCAGAAGGGATTTTCTTCAAAACTATCACAGTTAACAATAAAAGTTTGTTACATTGGACAGATTTAAATGTGGTGTTTAGATATTTAAGTTAAATTTGTTTTCTGGCCAGAACTGGTACACTGGCCAAAACTGGCACATCTACCCTAGTTGACACAGATGACTCAGATAAGACCACAGCTTTAATGCTAAAGCTGAAGGCGACTTTGAATAGTTGGCACAGATGACTGAGATAAGACCACGGCTAGAATCCAAAGTAATCATTTATATTGCTTTCGTCACTACTTATGTTCTACTGAATAATCAGTTTTTCAACGACCATTTTCAAAATCTCATCAAGTTCCCACATTTGTTCTTTTTCTATATGTTACATACATATTCTCCATTGTTTTCAGTTATTTGTTCAAAAGCTTTATTCATTAAAATGTGCACATCCTACAGTTTGAATGTTGTGACATGAGATGTAACTTTTTATATCTACCCATATCAGTTCAATGGGATTTCAATTACAATGATATGGGGGTAAACGTAACACATCGACACCTATTCCTTTCAAATAACCTATTTTTTTTTTACCTATTCCTTTGGCCATTTTGTCAATATATTTATGATATTTGATTTACTTTTTTAACAATATCTAAAGATTGTATTTTCAACATTTTGTTGTTATGACAAATGTTTTTTTTTGCAACCAAGAAATTTATGTCAGCTTTCTTCCAACTACAATTTGGAGTTTTCTGAATTTTAGCTGAGTGATATGGAGCATTGTCCATGACAACAACAGCGTTATTTTCTAATTTTGATATTTTTTCAAACTATTTTATGAAATTATTGCTGTCCAGTCCATTTCTTTGTGGTAATCTTTTGTTGACTTTGATTCAAATTAAGACTGACATTAAGAAAACCTGTATTGCTGCCTATATGAACAAGAACTATTTGTTTTCTCTTGCCAGAAGGATTTTTCAATCCAGTAGACCATCCATGCATAAAAGCTTTGCAATATGACATAATTGAACGATCCTTCCATACTTTATTCTTGGTATGCTTCGCATTAATCCATGTTTTGTCCAAATAGTAGATCTTATGGCCTAAAGAATGCATTTTTCCTATTTTTTGTGGATATTGTCTTTGCCGTAAAATGATATTCTCTCTTTCAATTAATCTATTATTTCTGTTCTGGTTTTGCATATTTAAAATTAAGTAATTTTAACAAATTGTATATCATGGATCAAGTAGTCTGGTAAATCTGGATCATCATTATCAGCCTGCAATACTTTACCTACAGTAGGTAATTCATTTAAAAAATAAAAATTGTGTAATGGCACATTTTGTGAATTCATCATACGTGTCAACAAGTTGAGTATGCTTACAGGTTTTTGAAGGCGTTTTTAGTTTACCATTAGTAGAATATTCTTTACGAATTCTGTGAATGCTCCTTTCTGATATTCCTGTTGTCTTTGCTACCATTTTCACTATATCATTCACACAGACTTCTGGATTTATTTTGGTTAGAGAATTAAACAAATTTAACACTATTTGTTTATCCATATTTCATTAAATATTCATTAAAAACAACAATTTAACAAATATGAAAACTTCATTTATAATCATTGCTAAGTGACTAGTATTTCATTAATGATTTTATAAATAACAAGGAACTATTTTCAGTGGGCAAATGAGATACAGCATGGTTTCTGATTGATGGACGTAGATTTAAAACAATAAACAAAACAATTTAAGGCATTCATGATGCTGAAACTCAGGAATGCTTTCTTTCATTATTTTTTATTATATATTTTTATGCAACAAATCTAGTGATGTCTCAAAGATAATACATACCAACCCCACTGCAACAATACCAATAACAAGACAGATAAAAATAAGTAAAACAATAAATATTATTTAGAATAAATCATTTTTTGCAGATTTATGTTTGGAGAAATCAAGGAATAGTTTATCTGCAATTTTAGTAGCAAGACAAATTTGTGTAACATTGGAAATATTAGTATCTGATGGAAATATATTAAAATTTTCTGTATAGGTATTGAAAATTACACCAAGGTTGCAAACGTTATTCAGAATTTCTAATGGCTGATTATTTAGAAAAAGTTATTAAAGGTTGAGGTTTTAACAAGCTTGAAAATCATGATTTTTGTTTTACTTGAGTTTATTGTAAGACGAACTAAAATTATTTAAATTACTTAATCTATATCAGTGATGCTCAAACTTTTTTGAGCCACTACCTCCTTGGATTCATAAAATTATGCCCAATGTCCCCAACCATACCCCAATACCTCCAAATCCATTTTACCTTGTATGTGAGAGGCTTGGAAATATTCTTAGAAAAACTTTTTTTATGAAATTCACATGTTGTATTCTTATCATACATTGTTCTCCACATCTGGAAACCTTTTAACTTACTAAAAGATTGCTTTATTCAGTGTGCAAGCCATTACGGTCCTCAATAAAACCCTTTCTGCTAGTTGCTGCAAACTGTCACTGTTCCTGGCTAGGCTGTATCACTTTTATACAGGGAATTTCTCTGAATATTATGTTTCCTCTTGTCTGTTAAATATATATATATATGTGTGTGTGTGTGTGTGTGTGTATATGGGTGTATGTATGTGTGTATATATGACGGGCATGTATTATATGTGCGTATATATGTGGGTAAAATAAAATAAAATAAAAAAAATTAAAATAATAATAATGATGATAAAATAAATGTATAAATTCATAATAAATGTATCTATTCATATATAAAACACAGATATAATAATTCATTTAAATAGTAATCCATCTTAATATCTTAATATAGTGTTTCCTCTCCATTAGGCAATTTCTGCCCTGCCTGAAAACAATAGAAACCAGTTCCTTTGTTTAAAATCTAGTCTCTTTGTCTTATGCCCTGCTTTACCATTCCAGTTCAGGAGAGTGTTCTGTTAAGACGTGTTGCTGTTTTTATTCTTTCTGGTGCCTGGGTTAGGTAAAGTTTTAAAATAATACGGTAGAAATAGTAATATAGTAGAAATAGTGATATAGTAGGAATAGTATAAAGAAATTAAAGTCAATCCAATAAATACCTAAATTAATACCTAATAAATTAATACCATGGATAAGTCTCAAAATATCATCATGGAGCTAGAAGAAATAAAAGAAAAACTATTCACCGTCAAAGAGTGTATAGAGGCTGCCCGCAACATGCGGACAGATCTTAAAGACAAAGCCATTGAAAGCCTGCCTGGAGTAAGCTTTCTGATCCAGCAGCTTGACAAAAATTTTAATCATGAAATACAGCAGCAAAATCTTCACATTGACTCCCTCCAGCAACCTGATAGAGGTCACCAGGTTTCTGGATGTCTGAAGATGAATCAGATATTCAGATGAACCTTTCAGACCAGGGTGTCACTGCTGTTCGATGTATCTCCATTCGTCGGGATGGCAAATTAATACTAACCAAATATTTAATTCTCACCTTTAACAAGCCGACATTGCCATCTTTTATTACAGCAGGTTATCTGCGCTGCCCTGTCCGTCCGTACGTTCCAAATCCGCTGCGTTGTTTCAAATGCCAGCGGTTTGGACATTCACAGACATCCTGCCGTGGCAAGAGCGTATGTGCACAGTGTGGGACTGAAGGTCACGAGAGTACCGAGTGTACCAGTACCCCATGCTGTGTTAACTGCAAAGATGGCCATCCTTCTTACTCCCGAAAATGCCCTGCATGGCAAAGAGAAAAGGAGATACAACGGGTGAAAACAGTCAACAACATACCCTACCCAGAGGCTCGTCGTATGGTCACTTCAACTGCACCTATGAGACAGAAAACATTTGCTGCTGTTTTGAAATCCACAAAGACATGTGGGGTTCAAACAGATATTTCTGTCTCTCCTAGTGAATCTCTTACCCGCCATGCGAAATGTTTAATTCTCCCAACTACCCAAACATCAGAAAAGGAGATTAAGAAAGCCAAAACACCCCTACCAAAAACAGGGGTAATGACAAGAAACGTGGGTTC